ATGACTATAAATGCATATAAATACAAGCATTCAATAGACCAACTCACATCTATGACAGGGGCCGATCTCAGAAAAGTGATATAATTACTACAATTTCTAGAAAATTACCTCTTGTTGGTGACAGTTTGTGGTACTTTTTACGCAGTCAATATCCTTTCAATCCTTTATATGTTAAGCAACTGATCTCAATTGAAATTCCGGTTTCGTATTGCTAATGAATCCCCAATAATCTTTGAAACCTTTTTATCCCCTTGATCGGTTAATTTTCAAGAAAACGGTCATAAAAGTGCCCATTTTTTTATCCCTGAAAATTATATAAAAAATCTGTATGAGCAATATATATTTTCATTTTTAATTTTTGATTTGTTTTTAGCTTGAAACTTTAAAAAATTAAATTTTTAGGAAAAGCCAACATTCTATGACCTAATGTTAGTTTTCCAGCAAGCAGGGGAAATTTAAAAAATATGTGTTTTAAACATTAAAGAAGAATTTTATTAAACTTACGTATAATATAAATAAAGATTAGTAATTTTGTCTTGTGTGATAAATTTGAAAGCATGAGATACAGAGGCCAATGTCACAATCTGGACAGTAGTACCGAGTTTCCTTCCAACATCTCTTATTGTCTTCATCTCTTCTGGAGCAACAAAACTATCTACAATTACCTTAAAAATATCCTGGTACTGCCATCTGGTGTGTAAAATGAGAAATAAAATGTTTTCCGGGCAAAAGAAATTAACTTGTTTTATTCTTATTGGCGCGTTACTACTGAAAACTCCAGCCCGGAAATATCACGGGAGCGAGAAGGAAGGGGTTATAGTAAAACGTCGGGAGTAGATGTGACTACCATGCGCTTTTATTTATCCATCTACATCTATCTTTCTTTCTGAGTGCTAACAAAAAATCCTTGTCTTTCTTTTATTTCTCAACATGTAAGGCATTCAGATTCATTTCCTAAAATATTTTAATGTTTAACATAAAATATTTCCTTCATAAACCCTCCTAACCATGCAACCTTCAAGTTTTCGAAGTGAGAATTGAATCAAATTTTTTTTTAATTTTTTTTATGCTTGCTGAGTTGATGAAATTTGACCTTTATTTATTTCATTTATACTGCACCTCTTTGATTAACTTTCAAACTTTATTTGACAATTTTGCTCCTCCCTTACACCAACTCTTGCTCCTCACAAAAACTTTGCTACTTGAGTATTGGTCTCATTTGATTCCTTTTTTTATGATCTCCTTCTATTTGAGATGATATAAAAAATATTCAAGAGCCATGAAAATATATGGCGATTTTCCATCTTTCAATTCAAGAACTGATATACCGGGAAGGTATAATTCACTTTGTCCTTCTATTTCATGAACATTTTAGTATTAACAAGAAATCTTTATTCGCATACTAAAACTAAATTAAGAACTGAAAGTTAACTAATGAAATATAAAACATTATACATTTCAGAATATCTCATATCATCACAAAATAGGTAAACTAGAATTGACAAAGGATTTTAAGTATTTTCTGACTGTAGTGCTGCCATTTACGTGAGAAGATTAAGTAATTTTAAGAAATATTTTTAAAGTTAAGGAGAAATTAGTATGCTTCTTTTTCTGTGGAAAACAAATAGTGTATTTGTTAAAAAAATTCACCATTGTTCAGTTACCGCTGAAAAATTTGTAATGCTTTAAAATTCAGTATGATTTTTTTGGAATGAAATAAAAGGATTAGAAGATAATATTTTAATTGTTGAAAATACTACTGCAGTCAGAGCTTTCGAATCCGAAAAAAAAGTATCTTTTTTTTCCAGATAAATTGCACTTTTTGTACCTGGTTTCCTAAGTTAAAATATATCCTTTGCAATATTTCATTAGATCAAAAGTTATTCAGGGTGCTCGCTTTTTATTTTAGGCATTGTTCATACTTTTTTCTGAGAGTTAGTGATAGATTGATACCTAGTACAACATCTCGAATCAAAAGTATTAATGACCAAAAAACAATTTTAGAGAAATCAGTTCAACGTTTACCTATTGGTATATTAACTTAAGTTAAGAGATGTTAGTAAGATTAAGTTAAGAGCAAACTTAAGTTAAGAGATGTTAAATTGAACTTTACGTTTCGATTGAATGATATATTATCACGTAATCAAGTATCAAGAGGGATTTTTTTTAACTGTATTAAGATTGCAGCAAAATAACTATATTATGGTTCTACACGATCACTATGAGTGTTCAGCAGTGTAGATAATATATTTAAATCATTTAAATCTCCATAACAACTCATCGCAATGACACATTTCTTACAAGAAAAAAATTCCTATATGCTGAATACATACATAACTATTTAAAATTATAACATTTGTGCTTTATTCTTTCTCTTCAAAATGAATAAAAAACTTATCTGATATTGAACAGTTTTCAAAACAGATTAAGGAAAATTAAAATAGTGTTTAAATTATCAGACTAGTTTCTGATATTATTAAGCCAGAAAAAATTAGTTTTCTTTTCATACATTCGTGTGGTTGCAACGTCATATAAGTTTTTATCATTGTCAATGTCTTATTCTTAGTTAATTAGTAGCACATAATAAACAGGGAACACGAGAAACAGGGAGTATTGGCTTCCTATAAAGTCCATTTTTTGAATATTTGTCATAATTATAGTAAAGAAATATGCATTTTAAGGCTCGTAAATTAAGATATGAGATAAGAAAAAATAAAAATGTCGTAAAAATGTGCTGTATCACGAATGAAAATGGTGAGTTTCAAATCGTTAAAACATATTTGATTGCCTGATTCAGTTTGTGCTTCTAACAATAATTTTTCAATTCGATTCTATAGTTTCAATAATCTAACTTTTTCAATTTTTGAAATCCTGCCTTTTTTTAGTTGTGTTCAGTTTTATCTTGAAAGCAATTTTGTTTATGTTGTTGTTGTCGTTGCCAATCTCGGAATCGTATAGCAGCGCTAGACAACTCCGATGAATCCGAACACCTCCAAAAAGTCCATAAAAAGACTGGAGTCTCGCAGGACCTCATCTTTACCGAACCCCAAACAAGTTGGAATAAATTTTTTGTTGTTTATTTGTACTTTAAATATTAATTTGTTAACCCCTAACATATGCTCTTTCTTTAATGTTTTTCACAAGGTCTTTAAAAACATATATTTACTGGGTGTCGACAGAGTATTACAACTCTTGATATTCATCATAAATATTATCACTATTCTAATAAATGTTTTGTAAGATAAACCATTTGAAGTATAGAACAAGGCTTTTTTTGGTATAAACAGTTAATTGAAAGTTGTTTTAATGAATTTGAATTTCAAAGATAGAAAAAATTTAAAAGAAAAAAAAACAGAAGGCATTAATTTTTAAAAAATTGATAGAAACATTTTTAAAATACCTCAGTGTTGAATAAAATGCACAAGCTGATTCTTAACTTAAATACAAATGAAAATCTTCCCTTAAGAATAAAATAAGATACTGAAATCAAGGGAAAAACTAAATTTCTATTCCCTGTCTTACAGGAATTGTTAGGGTCTAATTTTGTGCAAATCACGCAAGGAATTTAGTAAAATGTAAAATCGCAGGCTTAAATTGCTGAGTTTGTTACTTTTATTCACAAGGGTTGTTGAGTTTTATTCGTTTTGTTTGTTTCCTTTATTCTGAAGTCACACGAGAATTTCGATCCTTTTTGTTGGTAAATAAGAATAAAAATGTCGGATTGTTGTAGGCTTAGGTATTTTATTTGAGCTTGCATTTAGAAAAAAAAATATAAATGCTTTTTGTGTGAACATTTTAAATTTGAAAGGAAGCTTTCTTTAAGCCTGTTATAAAAAGAAGAATTCGAGTGAAAAAAGTCAACAATTCCAAATTATTCAGTTTTAACAATCTGAGAAGTCAACATTTATCTTTGAAAATAAACTTCAACCTTAATAAAACAAACACAAGAACGTTTACCGTAGAATTTCTTGGAACAGAAACTATATTTTTGTGTGGTAAACATTTTCCCAATAAACTGCCGTATCCAGCATTTCATCACCAAGGCTGAGAAAAAAGGAACAAAGTCTTTACAGACCATCCAATATATTTTCTTTCTTAAAATGTTTAAATCCTATTAATCTGGTAACTAAATAATAGTTTAGAATGAGTTCGGGTTCAATTTTTCCTTATTAGATTTTCTTTAATATGTATTTTGTCACAATTCATAATTTTCATTGTGATGCCTTTTATTTTATAAACGTCGTTGAACAGCCGGTTCAATTTTTAGATTTACGACTACTAATGTTTAACTCCGTGGCCTTGTAATTTTGAACCCAATTCAGAAAACAATGGAACTCCTGGATCAAGTCATGGGAGAAATTTGTTTCCGTGGTGGACTTTCTGGTAGAACTAGCCCACATTTGCGTGACATGGTAAGGAAAACTGCGAAAACCTCCCACTGTTAGCCTGACGGCAATTGGACTCCCATGATCCGCCTACCATTGAGGATATTTTACGTCAGCACTGTGGTTGGTTCGAGACGGGTGCGGAATTCGTATCGATCAACCATCACCGGGATTCGAACCCAGTTCACCTCATTGGAAGGTGAACGCTCTGTCCCCTGAGCCACCATGGTTCTCATTGTGACACGCTAAAAAGAATGCATTTTTGGCGAAACAGAATATGTGTATTTTATCAATATTTAAAATTTATCACTCGTCAAAGATAAAATGAAGTGCAAATTTCGAGTTGATTTTAGCAAAATTTAAGCAACAAAGTCATCAGTAACTTCATAGAGGATCCCAGACGTCAAACAAAGGGAAAAGTGAAAAGCGCAAATTGAATGATCTAAAACGTACAATAGTATTTATACATATTTCCCTAATTTGTATTCAGTTCAGGTTGTTTTAGGTAACACTTCAAGTTTGGTGTAGAAGCAGACAGTTTCACAGAAACGGCGGTACTTGAACCTAGTACTTTAACCACTGCAGACATTTCGGTACTTGAACTTACTACGTTAATTACTCGTACACCACATGTTGTTCCAAAGGAGCAAAAAATGAACGAAGAAAGGCTGTAATCTAAGTAAAGAGTATTCTTAGATTAAATGATAGATGATAGACTAAATGATAGAATAAATGATAAAGAAAAATTAGAGAATGGAATATGAGCAATAATGAAAGAAAGGTATTAAAAAAAAAACACAACAAAAGAAAAAAAATGCAGTCATTAGCTTGAACTAAGATGCCTTTTTGTTAACACTGTCCACTGTTGTAGAAATCAAATTTAGAGCATCCAGAGCATTTATTTTTGCTACGGAATTATCATGCAAGTTTCCGGAATCAAGAAAATAGATCTAAGGAGTTGTTTAGTGTAAATTTTTTTTCAATGATTAGATAATTCCAAAATTCTACGTTAGAAGTTCACTGGAAAAAACACCATTCTAAAATTTTTTCAGTTTAAGTTTCTATATTTTATATAACCACCCTTTCAGTGCCTTGCTCATTTCACAACCTTTCTGATTTTGATCCAATGAAAGAAAATCCTCTCTCACAGAAAAAAAGACAATGAGATAAAGTAGAAAGAATATCAGAGAAGCTAAAAACATCTAATAAACAAGATTTTAAAGAAGAAAAAAAGTTTGTGCTAGTTTTGTAGAGGAAAAAGGACTGTTCGATAAACTTATAAAGCTACATTTTCTCTAAAAGTGTAACGTAAAATTCCACACCATCGGTATAGTCACTTTTCATGACTAGCATAAAATGACGTAGGAATCGGGATAACGTACGAAACGGACAATATATATATATATATATATATATATANTTCTTCCTCATCACCATTCAACAGATGGTCAAAGTGTTCATTCCATCTGTTCAGCACCTCTTCTCTATCGCTTAAGATCGTTCCTTCCCTGCTTCTGCAAGAGTTTGTTCTTGGCTTGAATTCCTTGCGACCCAAGTTTATTTCTCGAAAGAAAGCTCTGCTTTCCCTTGATCCCCTTAAATGTTCAACATTTTCAAAAAGATCTTCGAAAAATAATCTCTTTTTTTCTTTATGGATCTTCTTCTCTTCTCTTCTTGCTTCTTTATAAGCATTTTCAGCATTTCTTGCATGCCTTGAACTTATCATTCTTTTATAAGCCTCATTCTTTTTATAAGTTGCCATAAAACAATCATTGTCAAACCAGTCCTTTCTTCCGGTTCTCTCGATCTTTTCCACAACCTGGTCTCCTGTTTCGATAAGAGCTCTCTTAATAACATTCCATTCCCTGTTAACATCATCCCTTTCTGAAGAATCATCAGTCACTTCAAGCCTCCTTTCAATTTGTTCCTGGAACTTTTTTCTTGTAGTCTCTTTTTTTAGCTGTTCACCATCATATTTTTTCAGACGTTCTCCGCGAGCTTTACGAGTATTTGATATTCTGGCTCTAACCTCTGCCAGAACTAGAAAATGATCGGAATCTATGTTTGCCCCACGATAAGATCTTACGTCCAGTATATCCGATTTGTGTCTTGAATCAATTAAAATATGGTCAATCTGGTTGTAAGTATTTCCATTCGGAGATTTCCAAGTCATTTTATGAATTCTTTTATGTTGGAACATTGTACTTGGTATGACCATATTATGATCTGTAGCAAAATCTATAAGTCTTTTTCCGTTGTCATTTGAAATATCATGAAGACTATACCCTCCAATCACTGGCCTGAACTCTTTTTCCACTCCAATTTTTGCATTTGCATCCCCTAGGAAGATTTTAACGTCATTTTTAGGACATGAATTATATAATCTATGTAGCTCCTCGTAGAAAAGCTCCTTTTCCGCGCCATATTTGTCCTCTGTAGGAGCATGAAAGTTGATAAAACTGCAGTTAAAGAAAATGCCCTTTATCCTTATTTTGCATAGTCTAGGTGTCCTGCAATCAAAATCAATCAGAAGTGGTCTTATTCTCTTACTCAATATGAAACCAGTACCAAACATGTGTTTTTCTCTATCACAGCTATATACAACTGTATGATTTTTCTTTTCAATTATTCCCTCTCCTGTCCATCGAATTTCTTGCACAGCCAACAAATCAATTCTATAGCTGTCAACTTGTTCAATCAGCATTTGCAACCCCTTATTTCTATACAATGATCGAACATTCCATGATCCAATTCTCATATGCCTCAAACCATTTCCAGTCCGTTTCCCTAAAGTCAGCCCGGGTTTATTTTCTACTTGAGATTTCGTAACATGGAGTTTTTTACAGGGTGGGGTTGTTGGCCCAACGCCCAACCCCCAACCTGGAGGACCAGGGTGTTCCTCTTCGTCTGGTGTCTCCCCTCCGACCAGTCCGGCTTGGGTGACCCTGCCAGGAGCCGAAGCTCTCGCCGGCATAGCTCTCGGGATCAACAACACACACAAATCACAACACCACGTTAAGGTGGGAACACCATCGTCACCTACTCTACGTCTCACGTATTTTCTACCATCACTTCCAAAGAGCGATATTTTACTCTCATCACTCCATATTACTTGCTTCCATTGATTTTCTGGCCATTTAATGTGTTCTTTTGCCGACTTAACTCGTTTTTCGCGTTGCTTTTGATTTAAATATGGTTTTTTCCTAGGAATTCTAGCTTGCAGTTCAAATCCTAATAAGCTTCTTATTATTGTTCTTGAACTTACTGCAATACCAACTGCATTCATTTCACATCTAATGGCATCTGATGACATTTTTCTACCTTGAAGGCATAGCCATTTAATTATTCTATCGGCAGTATTGCTTGTGCATTTTTTTCGGCCTGATTTGGCATCCTGAATGCCAAAAAATACGTCGAAACTGTCCTGAAACCAAAATTGATACCTTCCATCAGGGATCTCTTCTTCTACATTAAATTACCTTTCTACATTAAATTACTGAATTCTACATTAAATTACCTTCAATTTGATATATAAATGTTTGTATTTAAGTGAAAATTAATATATTCTACAAGCACACAAAGTTGAAAAACATGAAACTTTCAAAAAGTTTCCACACTTTTGGCCACCACTGTATATATATATATATATATATATATGAAAATGAAATGAAATGAATGCTTTAAAATGAAATAAAATTGACTTTCTATACTGTAAAAACATAACAAGAACGAAATATTAAAAATTGTTTTTTTTTTCTGAAAAAGAGTTAATAGCAAGTGTTTTTTTAAAAATTCTTTGGCATAAACTCATAAAACACATTTATTTTCTTTTTTATATTTTATAAAACTTTTTTTGTATTGCAAATATAGGCTGACGCCTCTTTCTGCAGCATTTATTCACAACAACTGCCCTCTCAAGTTTCAAAACACAACTTGTGTAGCCGAAAAAATCCATCGATATTTTAAAGTCTTCGTCAATAAAATTCACTGTTAGATTTTTTATTCTATAGCTGTTGCGAAATTACCAGCATAAGTCTGTACATGTATTTAACTTTAAAGTTTACGCTTAATTATGGTAATAAAATCCACATGCTATTCTAATGGTGCTTCATTAATTTTGGAAATTTGTACTATTGGTGTAATGGTAATTGGATCAGTTTTAGTAAGTACCAACTGTACAGGCAGACATTTATTTTAAGTTATTATGTTTAGCATCAAATATATCGACACAAAGTAACTTATTTGTCATGTTTCTTTAAAGTTGGTTTTTTGTTACTTATACAACAAGAGACATGAATGCTGTCACATTTTATTTAAAATCAATATCACATGAATTACATTGAGTTTTATATACATTTACCAGCTGGAAAATACATAATAACCAGTTACTTTTGAAATTTCATGAAAACTAAAATAACAATTACATAAAACATGCATCAATATAATGATCCATCATGATGAGTTTACACTGAGCATTGTGAATAAATTAAATGCTTCACAAAATAATGTAAATAAAAATAATAAATATGAAAAAAGCACAAATGATGACTCATGACACTTGTTGCATTTGTGATTTTTTTCTCACGTTTGTCAGCTTTATTCACTACAATTTTTAAAATTCATTTTATGATTTCCTTTTTAATGCAAACATATAATTTTTATAACTGCCCTAACAAAGAATTTATAAAATGTGCTCATTGTTACTAAATATTTCCTCTACATCATGAAATAAATAATTTTTCTAATGATTAATGAAAAAAATAAGAAATTTTTAAAACAAATATATATGAAAAGAAATAAAATAATACATAAATTTAAAAAAAAGACAATTTGGAATTTAAACAAAAAGATTATGCGAAAAATCGGAGAAAAAGTTTTTTAAAAAAAAATCTTTCAAAAAAATTTGTTGATTACCGATTTTGAAAAATTGACCTCTGTGACCTCAAAGAAATGTAGTGTTCTTTTCTGTTACTCTGTTAAAATTCTTTTTAGGATGCGAATAAACTGATGGTGCAGTAAATTATGAAGAATATTATGTATTTATTCCAAGAAAACCAATCAAATTTCAATTTTTTAGCACCATTTATACCTCAATTTTAAATGGCGATAGTTACTTATTTGCAAAATTATTATTATTTATTTGAGGTAAATAACTGTTGTAACAGTATGCAATAAATTAATTTAAAGTTACTTTTTGATATTAACTTAAAAGAACTAGTATGTAATTATTTAAGTTAATTTTGGATGTTTATATGGCAAGTGGCAGAAATGGTGTTCTAATCACATGATTTACAGAGCGAAAAATTCCTGTTCAAATTATAGTAAAAAGCATTGGTACCTTAGGGTGCTTTCAGCCTTAAAGTTTAATGGAACAAAAAGTCTGCAAGCCCGTATTTTTTACTGGGTATTTACAGTAAATTTTAGATTCACAGTAATATAATAAATACTACTCTAAAAATAACAGTAGAAAAGTTTATATTAAAAGCTAATTTTACGGTAAACTGGGCTCCACTTAGTTTGACAGTACTTTTTACCGTAATTTGGTCTGGAATGTTTTGTTGTTAACACGGAAAATTAAACACATTTACTGACATGAAAGTACATAACATCCAGTGTATTTTAGAAATTCATCAAATTGGAAATACATAACACATACATTAACAAAATGACCACATCATAAAAATCACAATTTACATTGAGCACAGAAAATTGGTGTAAGCCTTATATATTAGTCAGTAAATCTAAACAGCAAGAAAAAAGTTAAATAAAGATATTTGCTGCATTTTTGCTTTTTTCATAGTTTTCAGCTTTGTTTATTTGTTGCTCAAAGTTGTACGTTTCTCAACTTGTTTTAATGGAAATGTTAGAAAAATTTCAAAATCTATGCAATTAAAAATTATTACATGCTCTTGTTTAATTTAATTTTAATTTGATAATATTAATTTTAATTTGTTAATATTAATTTCAATTCGTTGATATTCTTATCAAAACTTATTGGACAAAAATCAATGTTGCCGAAATCAAATTAAAATCGAAACTAACAAAAACAAAACAGTAAAACAAGTAAGAATAATATTTGATATTATTTCTTTTGTTGCTGGAATTTCTCCTCATTTAGCAAAGTGAAAAATTTTGAATGATTTCTCATGGTAATTAATTAATAAGTACATTTATTAATAAGTACATTAATAAAAGGTAAGTACATTAATTAAAGCTCACATTTAAATTATAATAAATAATTCATCATTAACTTTGATTAATAACATTTTATATCATGCTGCTCTTTAGCTTAAAATAATCTGTGATTCTTTTAAAAATACAACACCATGTAATTTTCAGTTTTCCAACACTTCAGATTATCATTTTCATTTTATAATTTATTATTATTTTAACATTTTTTTAAATACTGATACAATCTTTATCCAGATTACAGGAAAATTAGATATATTACTGAGTAAGCTTTTATTGTTTGATATGTTGTTAATCAAAAAAGGAACGAATACCAAATTTTTTGTAAGAGATTGTGTTATCCAAAATAGTCTAATAAGTGCGGTATGAAGCAAGTTAGATTTCGGAACATTAAAATACAATAAATCTACATAATGTCTCAGCTATAAATTTTAATAGTATCAACTGTAATCGATGTTGAGCGCTGGATGAAAACCCATAATTAGAAAACAACTCGAACAGTTTTAGATAAGCATATGCTCCTTTGTTGTATTTCCGTCTGCAGCCCCCGTTAAAGGACTATTCCTGTTAGTAGGGCATTTTGTGTTTATGCTAATAGTGAATCGGTAATTTTAGTTCAACTTCCGTTCCGTTGAAAGTTTAATAATGATCCCCATGAAAAGGAAACATCAAAGAATTAAATTGGTTTTCATGTTTTTAATTCTGCTAATCTCTTTCCTGATCCATTATTGTGTTTTTTCTTCCTTTGAATCCTAATTAACGACCCTTAATGTAAATATTTTATTGATTTTATTTCTGACAAATAATCTAAAAACATGTGTTTAAGACAGTAAATAGAAAACATCCTGCTTATAAGGTTTCAAGAAGACTTAGGCAACTTTGCAGATGCAGGAATAAAAATTCATTTCCTACGTTGAATTTTAGCGCAGTTTTTTTTTTTTTTGTTAGAAATTTTGGATTATACTTTTGTAAAAATATCACGAAAATATTTATTCTCACCATTTTATTTTAATCATTTCATACAAATGAAGGTTATATTAAGCTCAAAAGTCATAACTAAAAGGCTGACTGTTTTGGAAAATCCGAAAATAATTAGATGTAGAGAAAACAACAAAGTTAAACGATAATTGTTAAAATGTACGATATATAGCTTACACTGAAATAAAAAGAAATTTTTCACACTGTTTACAATTAAAGATTACGCAATATTTATTTTAATTAAGTGGATTACAATTAAATAATGATACGAGATGAAATTTTACCGTTCTGTTATGATTTTCCAGGAAATGGTAAAGTTCAAACTGGTAACAGATAGCCGCAATTAGAAAGCTGTAGTTGCAACAAGTATTACTATTATTGTTTCTTGACTAATAACAACAGTCAAAAATATTTCCTTACAAAAATAGCTATCCAACATTGATAGCCACAAGACATCATATTTCTGTTAGTTATATTTAAACCTCTAACAGCGTTCTGTTTTTTTTAAAAAAAAAGAAAAAAAAAAAACTACACAAGGAACATAAAAAGGGCGATGTTTAATTTTCCCCTGTTTAATTTTCACGTTATACATGCAGGGGCCTGTCTAGGTTTTTCTGACAGGTACCTATTTTGTGAAAATTTAGACGTAATTTGTGAAAAATTAAAAATTATATTAAAAAATCAACACNTTGACTAATAACAACAGTCAAAAATATTTCCTTACAAAAAATAGCTATCCAACATTGATAGCCACAAGACATCATATTTATGTTAGATATATTTAAACCTCTAACAGCGTTCTGACTTTTAAAAAAAAAGAAGAAAAAAAACTGCACAAGAAACATAAAAAGGGCGATTCCCCTGTTTAACTTTCACGTTATGCATGTGAAATATTATTATTACTTTTAAAATTCATTTGTAAAAAATTATGCATACTTGAAGCATCTTTTCCTAAATATAAATACATAAAAACAAATTTATTCATATTTTAAATAAATCCACTTCTGTAACAAAATATATCCGCAGTTATGAAATATATAAATGCCTGAAGATAATGCCTATATGAAACAATATTAAATTGTAGCTTGAGTTAAAATTAATGATATTTGGCGTTATATTGAATTTTAGCTTGATATGGCGCTATATATTGTCAGCTTGATATTGCTTGATAGCTTGAATTTTAGCTTGTTATTGGCGTTATATTAAATTTTAGCTTGCTTATCTTTATAAGAAAATAGATGTAAAGCTATATTAAATTTCAGCTTAAGCTTCGAGAAATTATATCTGAAACTATAGCAAATTGTAGCTTGAGCTATACGAAATTATATTTGAAGTTATAGCAAATTATACTTGAAAAGGAAATTTATGCTAGAGCGTATAACAAATTATACCATCAGCAAAAACAGGTTAAGCCTGAATCTTCAACAAGTTACACCTTCAGCTATAAAATATTATAGCAGGGGTTATAACAAATCATACATACAATAAATTATAAGCTATAATGTATTGTAATTTTTAATTGTAATGGAAATGCATTACTTCAAAACAAATATTGGGTACAAAACTTTATTTGAGACACTTAGTTTAAACAACAAGATATATATTCAACGACCGACAATATCGCGATTGAACCAACACATAATTTTACCACAAACATTTTTTTACAAAAGCAGCTTCTTGTGATAATTTTCACAATGAAATATATGAATTAAATGCAGCTGAGTGCGTTGAAATGATCGAAATGAATTGAAAAGTATGTAAATGATGAATAAAATGACAACTAAATTTCTCTAAAAGCTCATTGTTTTTAAGGAGTGAAACAATATACAATAAATGCTGGGTTAAGAGCCCGTCAACGTAAGGGAATTATGTGCGTTGAACAAACGTTTAATCACGAACGATTAGTTAAAACAGTCGCATGAGTACACATAAACCAGAGATTCCCAACAATTTTATATCGCGGCTCCAATCAAAATATACCATTCCAGATTTGAAATTTTCTTCTCCTCAAGATAATTTCAAGTTATGCTAGACAATAATCATCAAATGTTCAGAAATTTATTTTCAAAATCATGATAAAATGAATATCACTATTTTTCTTGCAACTTTTTTTAACTCACTTTTCTTAGCAACCTACACCAAATCTAATAAATGGTAATTTGAAATAAGAAATTATTTGATTACTCAATGTACAGTTAAGATAAATTTTATCAATATTAAAATGCTTTTAAGTGAAACGTGGTTACGATTATGACAATGTTTTCAAAAGAAATGCAAGCATCTAATATATATAACTCTCTTACGTGGCTCCCAAATTTTGGCTGTATTTCTTTTCCGCTGGTGGCAGCGTTTGCTTTGTTTTGCTTACGTTACCATTTCTCTTACGCGGCGAATCAACCAATGATTGACGCTAAAAATGTCACATGCCAAATCTAGCTGAGGTGGCTCAGCATATAGCGCTTTTAAAAACGGAAACGGAAATAACCAGAGAGCATCAGCTGCGGCAATCTCATACTATTAAGCTAGGCAGAAGTGAGTAGTCTTTGTCGATAGATCTCTATTTCAGTATTTTGTCGAAAGCGCTTTTTTTCACAAATTTATATATTACGAATTTATTTGACGATTTTTGATTTATATCACGAATTATACTATAGCACATTTCTAATAGGTTTAACGAATTACATGTCATTTATTTGAATTCAAATTTATTTTAATGACTTAGTATTTACTAAAAAGATGCAATTTTTTAAAACAAAAAAGTTTTTTAATGATTATTTTGAATTCTTAGAATTTTGGGTATTTGCAATGTACCTAAGTTAGTAGCGAGAGAAGCGAGCTTGGTTTGCGAAGCAAACCATATGATTGCGTAGCAATTTTCGGGGGTTGGCGAGCGTTAGCGAGCTGGGGGCGCAGCCCACTAGTTTTAATGCATATTGAGTAATTGAACTTAGGAGACATACTATATTTAAGCTGAGTAATACTGAGAAATTAAGTATAATTTTGGTCAAGACAACGGTTTGTTTTTGAGACAACGGGATAAATGCTTGGAAATGTATTAAAAAGTATGCTCTTAATACTAGCGTTAAAAATGAATGCCCAAGTCTTTCGATTACGGATATAGTGACAGAATTTCGCAATTTTCTAATTGTAATGCCGTAATAATATCAATTCCATTCAATGCAATAATATAATAATAATATTTTGATAAAAATGCCAATCTCAAAATGAAAAAAACGAATTGTGAAAAATTTAAATGAAGTTGGAATGATAGTTTTATCATTACACATGACGGGGTTAAAAAGAGATTAAGATCCATATATTTTATGAATTTTAGTAGCGTCAGTTGTTCAGTTTTGCTAAAGGAACTTTGATGACTACAGGAAGAAAGAAGAAACCACTGTACTCTGTAAGCTGCGTCTTGCTTTTTTCGTCTTTGTCTTGCGTATCTACTATTGTTGCTAAACTAACATTCCAACCCCAATATAGTCTTAAATAAGAGGGTAAAGATTCGATGAAGAAAAAAAATTGGTATCGCGATTCAAAGCTTTCCAAATTCTGTCCACTGTAATCGTGACTGTCGGACATGAGCAAACTTTTTTTTATCCTGAAAAGCATACCTCACAATAGAATTATGCAAACTTTTATACCGCTTTCTCCAACTTAATGCTCACCTGGGAATAATACAGATCTAGCTTTATTTTTTACATCTGAATTCTAATTTACATTTCGAAAGTAAAATGGAACATCAATAAGAAATTCTCAAATTTTTAAGATCCTTTGGAATAAACTGTTTGAGAATCTCTGGTTTAGATATTTAAACCACTGAGTCTGCCTTTGAATGACCATTTAAGTGCGCTTTGGCCAAGCTTTCATTCTGCTCAGCTGAATAAATAGAAGAAACACCGCTGTCAGTTCTAAAATGGCCTTTTAAGCCTTTTATTATTAAGGAGCCTTTCAGACTGGAGTCTCTGCTAATGCCAGATGAACGAATACTTGTGTAGATTGTAGTTCTGTTGAGACCATTTCTGTTCAGAGATGTCCTATACTTACTGTTCTCAACAGAAATACAGAAAAGTTTGCTGAAGACTTGACGAAATCCATCTCTGTATTTGGAGTTCATCCAGCAATAGATGATAGGATTGTAGGACGCACTGCTCATAGCTAACCAATGGCACACAAACCAGACGTAGTGTATATGCTCAAACTGCCAGATGACGTCATGCTCATCACCCGCAACTATGAGAGTGTTAAGCGGTAGCCAACACAGAGTGAACACAGAAACGACTGTTATCATCATTTTTATCATCTGTAAGAATTCACAAATGTTAAAACAGACAACACTGAAAATTATGCATGGAAAAAAAAATTCTGGTAAACTTACGGAATTACGGTACTGTCTAATAATATTGTTTCTGGTAAAATTGTATATACAAATATACATTCTGGTAAATGAAACTCAAATATCCGGTAATATTTAATGTATTTCACCAGCTACAGATACTTTTTGTATTAAAACAAAGAAAAATACTTTTAATCAGGTTTTATATGTAACAAAATGACAACTTTTATTTAAGATTTATATGTTACAAAATGACGTTTGACATACCTTTATATGAATCAAAATGACGTAACATTTTGACCTCAATCGGTGCTATTTAAAAAAATTATTTTTTAAATCAATTATTGCCGAATTTTTTGCGAATTAAAACTAAAATTACTGATAGAGCATAAACTCTGCATATGTTGAGCTCATGTTCCCTGTGAATCGTTTTTGGACAGTTTTCGGAGATATAATGTCCGTTAATTCCAAACTGAAGTTTCTAAAATATTATTTAATGAATATAAGCACAGAAAATATGTGTACATTATTTACTTCATATTATTCGTTGGATAGCATAACATTCGGTACAAAATTCTTTTATTAAGGAATTATAAATTACGTATTCAAGGATAGTGTTTCAGGTCCTATTCAGCTCTCGCGGTTACAGTTATAGTGATAGAATTTTATTTTATTTTATTTTATAACCGTGGTTGAAGAGCCGACCCAATTGTTTGGTTTTTACGACAACTAATGTTCAACTCCGTAGCCTTGTAATTTCGAACCCTATCCTGAAAATATAGGAACTCTTTGATTAAGTTTTGGGAGACATTTTTCCTTGTGGAGGTCCTTTTGAAGAAACTAAATCGCCTTTCCGTCACGCGGAGAGGAAAACCACGAAAACCTCCATCAGTCAGCCTCACGACAAGGGGATCCGTCTGATGAGGATCTGTCTACTACTGAGGATATTTCACATCAGCAATATGGTCTGTGCGAACTGAGTGAGGCGAAATTTGTATCGATCAGCCATCACTAGGATTCAAACCCGGTTCGCCTTATTGGAAGGCAAACGTTCTATCCCCTGAGAACCACTATTCATTGTGACATAACTATGAAATTTTTAAATTTTTATACGTAATTTTCTTTTATTGAAAAAAACATGTTTACTGCGAAAAAAAAATAAATGGAGTTACGTCATAAGAAACAGCTAAAAAACATAGAATGTATAGAAAAACATGAAATGGTATTTTAAGCATTATAAACGGCGGATCATGTACGAGGGAGACGCGTTCTACTGAAAGAATTCTACTAAACTTGCTAAAAGCGGCTGCACGAAAAAAAAGGACATCACAGTGATTTTTTTTGTTACACATTTTCTTTTCTGTCTGGCGTTGTCACTATTTAAGCTCAAAATATCGTTCCAAACCCATATTAATTATTTTTTATAACCATGATGATCAAGTTTTGACTGGAAAAAGTAGGTATTATTTTTTTAAATATTTGGTTCTTTGAAATTTTATCGTTATAACAGTACTTGAAAGCTGAATATTTCTTTTCAATAGTATTCTAGAGCACGTAGCCGAAGTACGAAATTTGATTTCCTTATCTCGAACTGCATCCTCACCCAGTGCAATATGTTAACAAAGTTATTTTGTAATCATCCATAGCATATACCACACATACTCTTAATTACATTAATACACATCGAACACCCGGAAATTAAAAATTGTTTTAGATGATCCATACTGTGAGATATTTTCCAAGCTCTATTGAAGCCATCAGCTGTTCTCAAGCTCAAAGTGCAATCATCTACTCTTGTAGTCATCCTCATAGATACAGCTGTTGCAGTGGAATTGTGGGATTGAGCCATCCTGCTTCTTGGATTTGTGACACAAGGAAGCCACCTGAATACCTCTCTGAAACCGTGACGATATTTCTCATTCATCCAGCAATAAATAGCTGGGTTGTAGCAGGCATGACTCATGGCCAGCCAATGGCAGGCAAACCACAAGTACATGATGTTTGGCAAGTTATAAAGCTCAGGGTACTGATCACCGATAACCATTAGGGAATTGAATGGAAGCCAGCATAGAGTGAATACAAAGACGCAGACAATCATCATTTTTATCATCTGAAAAAGAAAGAAAGAAAAAGCTGATAGGAAAGAAAGAAGGAAAAGAGAAATTAGTAAGCAGAGAGGTCACGTTAGTGTTACATGTGCATATAGTTAAGAAAAGTGTAGTGAAGAAGTAGATTGCTAGTAATCAGGGATGATTGTTGTAAGAAAAGCATTAAAAGTTTTACATTTTTTCTTAAGAAAAGAGTCAAAATTTTAAATTTAACAATGTTATATTCTTTTCAAAAAATGAAAAATGGTTATAAAATGGTAAATATAATAGTGAATGTCGCTTGTATAAGTAGTCTCTGCCACATAAATTGCTTCCTATTGATTTAAATAAGCCTACTTAGACATTTGTAAACAGGGGAATAAACGACTGTTAAAAAAATAAGACAACGTAAGAAATAATTGAACAAAATTTTCTTATATATTTTTTCCTGATAAAATAACCTAACAAATTATAAGAATGCAACAAATGGTTTTCATTTTCAAATGGTAAAAATTTTAATTTTCAATAACAGCATGCAAGAAAGAATTAAAATGTGTTAAATCAAATATTGTGAAGGAAAAAAACATTTTGCCAGTGATTACTTACTTTACGTTTCGAAGCTGCCAACTTTTGATCTCTGGCATCTTGAGCTTCACCGGGAGCACGCTTACCCCAAACAACAACTGCTATTCTAGTGTATGTGTAGATCAAAACAGCCAAAGGAAAGAAATATTGAAGCACCATCAAGGCCATGCTGTAATGATATCTGTGAGTATTTGATTCCCAATCCTCCATGCAAGTGTACCGGTCTGTCAGATTGCGCTCAATCCACTCTTGAGGTTGATCTAGTTTCGACATGAGTGCTGTCGGCAAAGGGGTCAACAGAGCTACAAACCACACCAGCACTATAATCAACTTTGCTTGAAGTTTGGTCATTCTAGGTCTCAACGGATAGATGATGGCAATGTATCTGTCGATGCTGATAGCTACCAGGGTGTATGCGCTGATGAAAACAGAGACCGCTTGAGCATAACTGACCACTATGCACATGACAGCACCAAATGGCCAATACTGCAAAAGCAAGTTCGAGACGAATCCGAAAGGTATGCAAAGACTGGCCATCAATATGTCTCCGATTGCCAAGTTGACGATGAAAAAATTTGTGACAGATCGCATTCTTTGATATGCGAACACTATATAGCACACTGTTAAGTTTCCACCAATAGCAGCCACGGATATCACTATGTACATTATATACATGAGTGCTTCGACAGCTTTTGGAACTTGAATGTCGTCATCGAAAAATGTGTCGTTATAAAACAGGGCGCTTTGTTCGGATGAGTGAGTGACGTTGGATATGTTTACCATTGTTGTCCACAAGTACAACATACTTGCTTCAGTAGCCGTTGGGGAATTATTGTCATTCGTTTCTGACATTTTGGTCTGTATTTCAATTAAATGATTAAAAAATATTGAATCTAGGTTGGTTTTAACAAATTTATATGCATGAAATTTTCATATACTAAAAGCTAAGCGATTTGCTATTTCCATAATATCCAGTCAATAAAATTCTTTTTGTCAACAAAACATAATCAGTACTTTAATTTTAGCTTTGAAAGTCTTAGTCTTATGAAAAATGAAAACAGATAACCATTTCAAAATTTTCCAGTCAGTATAATTGCATTCAATGTTTGGTTATTTTTTTCAGATTTCTGTTTGATAACAGCGTTCTTTAGAATATACTTGATTTAAAATTAGAAATCGAGAAGCTAGATTCTGCTTTTATTTCCTTTCATATTTTGATGAAAATTAGGACTATAGCGAAAACAATAAATGTTCACATTTAACTAAATTCGGATGTAGAAGGCTTTTCCATAATCAAAAAAGAAGGAAACAGATGATTTTGAAACATTTTCTCTCGTCGAGGAAAGGAAAGTTGCGTCTTAAATTGCATTTACTTTTCAAACAAAGTATACTCTTTAGAATTTTCTTCATTTCGTAACATTTGAATTGCTTCTGGAATAAGAATGACATGTCCGAATGAATTGCAGAAAAGTAAAATCCAAAGCATCATTTCTTTAACTTATGTCATTTTCTTTAAGTCATGTCCATTTTGTTTCAGTCAGTCATTTTATTTATCTGAAATAAAAAATCAAATACTTTGAAACAAAATAGTAATAATAAAAAAAAACATCTATTATTCTAAAGTGATCAAAGAAATGAAATAAGAGTAGGTATACCATTTTTATTTTCAAAACTCATAAATACTTATAAGAATTCATAAAAGACTATCCCAGTTTCAATGATATAATGAAACAGCTTAATTTAGGCTGTTTCATTTCAGAATATGGATTTTTTCAGTTCAGAATATGGGTTAAATATCCTTATCCTTTTTGTGCTCTTCGACTAATCATTAGGTGTACAATCCGACGCCTTTAAATTGACTAGGTCTTAGGCTAATTAGAAAATCCAGCTCTTTATAAATTGGCGACTTAACATTCAAAGACGTTCCCTTGTCTTCTGGATCGAGTTCAAAACCACAAGATTATGAAGTTGAACACTGGTTGTCGTTAACTCAAAATCGGGTCGGCTGTTCAACGATGGCTATAACATAAAATAAAAAAATTACCATACCCTATGAGCCGAGGTAGCTAAAAATATAGTGCGTTAGCCTCCCAATGAGGAGATTCACCCTGTAACGCAAATGAGGATTAGTTTAATCGAAAAGTCCGTCACGAGTGCTAGTTTGTCCCAGTACTTAATCAAAGAGTACCCTTGTCTTCTGTGTTGGGTTCAAAATTTCGAGGCTATAGAGTTGAACATTCAGCATTTGGTCGTCTGTTCAACGTCGGTTTTGAAATGAAATATTAAATGAAATTTTCCTACTATGAAATCTAGACCATTGGTGAATGCCTCATGGGACATTACAATTAACCTTAAAGCAACACGCAAGCTGGACTAAAATTTAAGAGCTATTTTTAGCAAATTGCACGTGGAGAGAATCATAATTCTAAATCAATTAATTAATAAAACCGAAATTATTCTTCCAAATTTAAACCATTCATTTGCTAATTTTTTCCGTTCATGTGGTAACGATTTGCCGAAAAATCTGATTTTCTAAATTACATGCCACTCACTTAGTAAAAAATACATAAAATTATCAAATTTTATCACATATTATAAAACCAAATTTTATAGTTAACTGGATGCATACTCTTCCTCAGTACAGTATAAAAAAAGTAAACAATGTACATATCAGTACTGAACAACGCAACATAAAAATGCACATAGCTGAAGGTATCAGGGGGTACCAGCTTCCGGAGCTGGTACCCCCTGAAGACGTCAGCTTCGGTTGACATATTTATTTAAGCTTCCATTTTTCATTGTTTCTTTTGTTTCATAACTGAAAGACTTAAACGAACACAATTCATAAAGCTAAAAAGAATCTAAATTATTTACTAATTTTTGTCCTTGACAGCTGCTTTACATTATTAGATTAGTTAGCCTTACATTACTAGATTAAAAAACACGTTTTTAGCTGTTCATTCCATCACAATAAATTAACTGTATTCAGTTTCTTTTGGTAGGAGGCTTTTACTTGAGATTTGCCACAAACAAGCAGTTTTTTCATGTGCTTATAATTTTCGAGGTCCCGTTGAAAAAAACTCCTTGTACAATATTACAATTAAAATTGAACCAATTATCATAATACAAAAAGTGACCATTACCAACATTGTCAATAATAGTCAGACTTTTTTCACACTCTCTTAAACGAACTCCATGAACTTTTCATTTGAGTAGATAACCTTTTTCTTTTACTTCTATTAATGTTTATTACCAAAATTTTTTAAACATCATTGGCATCAATAAAAAACGACGATTTTCTTCGATTTCCCTAATTAAAATATTATTTTTTTTAGTTTAATTTGAACTTCTCACTAAAATTAAGCAAGCATCATTGGCGTCAATAATAGTATGGGGATTATTTACGTACCATTCTCCCAAAATTTTGCCTTTTAGTGCATAACTTATTTTTTTAAAATATCAATTAAAACCTGGCACTAAAATGAATCAATAGCATCAGTAATAGTTTGGCGAGTTTTTACGTTTCTTCTAAACAGACTAATGCTATTTCTCCATTCATAAAGCTTTTCAGTACAAAACTTTACAATAAGATTATTAATCTCTTGATGCTATTGCTCTATTTAAAATGAATATTAATTTTGGTGAAAGCGTTACAGTAAAAAAAAAGACAGTTGCCGTAGCGATATTACAGTAGGGAACCGATTATCCGGAACGATCGGGACTCTATTCCGGATAACTGATTTTTCCGGTTTTCTGAATCGCTACAGGAAGCCGTTTTTTTTATTGTTAAATCCAACTTTAAAAAAAAAAATATTTGGAAATAATCCCAAAAAAGAAGAAAAAACGATGAAGTAATAAACTAATGATTATTTCCAAAATGATGGTAAGGTATGATCATCTTTCAAATGATGGTCAAATGATGATCAAATGATGGTCATCTTTCAAAAAAGAAAGAAAAATCCTAAAATCTTATGGGGAAAAAAACATTTTTTTTAAAAAAATGGCGGGACAATTTATTGAATTTCGTTCCGGTTTTTTGGTTTTCCGGTTTTCTGATTTCCGGATAACGGGTTCTGTACTGTATTTATTTGAATAGCGTTATTATTATTTAAAGAGAAGAATTGAACGCTTCCACTTTTTTCTCAGGATAAAAACTGAAGATTTTAACTACTATTTTCGAACGGAAGAAGTATAAAAATTTGGAGTACGCGCAAAAAGTTCCATGTTAGGAAACTTACCCAATTTTCAATTAACGGTTTTATTTTAGTTTAGTTTCAATTTTCTTTTTCTTTCTTTGTAAGTATGTGAGTATATAAATCGTAAATAAATGTTTACTGGTTTTAATATAAAATTTACGTTGCATTTCCGGCTTTATTTCAATTTAATCACAAACTCGACATGACGGGAACTTCATTTGAACTCAGAACTCGATTTTATTGAAAAATAAATTTCTCACAAGTTAATCAAAAGTAAATTGCTCTGCGCAATGTTTTCGCTTAAATGAAAAAAAATTAAAAAATTTTGAAAAAAAGCAAGTAAAAGAAATTTAAAATTATGACCAGCCTTCAGCCTAATGATAAAAGAAATTGACGGTTTGATGCTGAAAGGCAAAACATTAAAATAATTTTTGCAATCAGGCTTTCCATAAAAGTTAAGGATTATAAAAAAATAGAACGAAACACGTACATTAAATCTAAATATAACACAGAACATAACACGTTTTTATTAAACTGTTATCTACAAAAAATGTTAACGATAATATTTCAAGTTAGAACTGTTCGTATAAACAGTCATTATTTGCAAAATAGTTTTCATTTTAGGAAATGTTATACTATGTACGGTATGCTAAAAACAGTTTCTAGAAGTTATTATATAAAGTCCTGGCCCCCACCATTAAAGGAATGGAGATATTTCATAATATTTATTCAACCAATTTCTAAACTAATGTCTGACATTCTTCAGGTATTTATCCATTTGTGATACTGATAATATAAAATGACAGAACTACTTTGGTTTTAGTTTAAATGAAACTTACTTTTTCTTCACATTTCTTTACATTGATATGTAAAATTATTTAAAAAAATGATTTCAATATTGTTAAATATTTTAGCAATTATAAAAATATGTAATAAAATTAATTAAAAAATTTTCAGGTCTTCCAAATTATTTTGTTTATATAAATATTTTATTAAAAATATTTAACATGAAAGCAAAATTGAATTAATTTTTATTTCTTTAAATATAATATAAACATATATATTACATAAAATATGTTTTTTTAAATTAAATAAATGATGAGAAATGAATAATAAAAAATAAACAACTTATTTGAATTTAATTTCTCGTTTTTACGCGAGGTGTATAGCATGTCCCCTAAATATCATTTTAGGGGAGATGGAATAAAAAATTACTCTCTTTTGTAATTACTTGAATGAATTTTTTCATTTTTTAATTCTATCCTTTTAGTTGTATCTTAATTGAGTTTGCCTTTACAAATTTCTCTTAGTTTCACTTTCTCAACAGAAAAATCAGTTTGTTTAAAATAGAAATAAAAAATCTAGAATTCTCATTACTGCCCTATATTTTTAATGGTTATTGCTTAAAGTCCTCTGTTTGCTTTTCAGCTTAAGACAACGTGTTTGGAGATCAACTAGGTTAAAATAATAAAACATTTAATTTTGGCAATAAAAGAAAGGCTGCAATATTACCAATAAGGTGCAATTTACAGGGGAAAACTCCTTTCTACGGCAATAAAAACAAAAATTTCTTATATCTTTCGATGGATCTAAACTGTCTGAGTTTTGAAACAGTTTCTTTTTTTCCCGAAAGTAAATCGAAAAGGCTTATTGAAAAAAAAAAAACACAGTTCATCGTAAAAAAAACTATCTTGAAATAACACTCCAAAGATCTGGTAAGGCTTGAAATCATATGTGGATAACATTGGAACCACTGAAAAAAATTTTTAAACTTATCTCAGTGTTTTTTATCTCTGAAAGCATTTCAGCTTTTATTTTCCTCATATTTTGGTTACCAAAAGATGTTTCATACTACATCTGTTAACTTTTTTAAAAATTGTTTTTACTTGTCATGAAAATAAGGGCAAACAAAACGTTTTGTTTGTCTGTCCTAGAAAATTAAAATTTTAGATATGAACTATCATTGAACATGCCATATATATATATATATATATATAAAATGAATCATTACATTTCCCCCTCCCAAAAATGGCATACGTTTGTTAATACTTTTCTATTTATTTCTATATTCTAAGTTAAAAGGANTTTGGTTTGCTACTGGTGGAGAGTTGAACATTAGTAGTCGTAAACCCAAAATTGGGTCGGCTGTTCAACGACGGATATATATATATATATATATATATATATATCGGTTTAATGAATATTATAGGAATCAAAATCTGAATTAAATTTGTTATTTCAAGCCAAAACCAGGCAGAATGAAAACCAGTATTTAGCGTATCTTTAAAAGAAATATCTTCTTTCAAACACACAAAAGGAATTTATTAACATTTAAAGTAAATATATACATCATTTCAC